TAATAATAATAATAATAATAATAATAATAATAATAATAATAATAATAATAATAATAATAATAATAATAATAATAATAATAATAATAATAATAATAATAATAATAATGAATGAATGAATGAAATAATAGTAGTAATGAAAGAAAATTTGAAAAATAATTCGTAGCTATATTCAAGTATTGATTTATTCGTCCGGAAATTACTTTTACTCTAAGAAATACTTTAATAGTTCCCCATTATCTAACCAATTATCCATGAGAATTCACGTTTCGTAAATTCCATAAATCCAAAAAGCAATTACTTTAAAACATACTTTATCGATAAGAATGTAAAGGAATGGATATAGAATGGAAAATGGAAATGGAAAATAAGTGATGAGATTGTTTAAAATTATTTATTTTTTCCCATTTTCATAGCAACACAAAGTTTAAATTTGTGAAAAATAAAATAACTTTTCAGGGATATTTTAATGTTTTTGAATAATTTACAGAATATTTTTTAGTAGTAAAATGATTGAAGAAAAGAAGTTATTCATTTAAGTCTTTATTTACTTTTTTTTTTTTCCTAAGGATCAATTAATTACAATTCTAATTAATTTTTTACATATTATATTTTATGGAAAATTTAAACCGAAGGCTAAAAATGATGCTGTTGTCGAATTTTTCATAATTAAAAATTATTTTAATTTTAAAAATACCACAAAAATTTTGGTAATATCGAGAATAACATCAAATTTCGACAGCAACCAGAAAGATTATTGCATTGATAATGAAGTTAGGATGACATCATAAATAAATTTAAAATGGAAGCAAAAAAAAAGGAAAAACGGTTCAAATGTGAGATATAATTTTAAATTGAAATGAATTTTCAAGTTGACATATTTCCAGCTGATTAAATAACAAATTTAACGAGTGAAAATTGAATTCCACATTAGAATTTGTAACTGGTGTATCAGTAATGATAGTAATATGCCATACAAATATTACTACGAATTAATATAACCTACAAAGGTATTTCCAATAATTTTCCACTAATTAATTAAAATATAAAATGAGAAATAAATGCAGATTGTTATGTTAGTCTTATCAGCGAATTTTCTTTACCAAAAATGATAATAATGATTGGAAAATATTATCAATTCAATATGATGCTATCAATGATTTATTCTCTGCATCAGTGAAAAATGAAACAAAATATTGAGCTATTTAAAAAAAAAAGAAAAAAAACTTATTAAATTTTATAGCTATAAATAAGCAAATTATCTATGCAATTAAAAGAATTTCATCAGTTGATGATGAGAGTTTATTAATGAACTTAAATCAAATTCAATCGCATATTAAAATTATTTCTGTTAATTAAACTAAATCCAACTATTACAAATTTAATCAAATTTATTTTTACTACTCATATTCCAAGTAATTCACAATTTCAATTTTAAATCTATACTACCACTTTTTTTCCTTCTCAACAATGATTGAAAAAGATTGAAAACTTGATGAATTCGATTTAATGAAGCAAAATTGATTGCAATGGAAATGAAAATTTAAAATTGTTCCACCAAATCACTTCACTTTAACAAAATTTGAAATATTCCATAGCTATACTTCTCAAATAAATGTCACTTTCAACTACTACAAGCATTTTCACTTTCTTCCTAAAAGTATTTGGCTCATGGAAACAAAACAAAGAAGAAATTAGAAAAAAAAATTTGATAAATCACCGAAGGAACAAAATGATTTGTTTGTCTATTTTCATTTTCAGATAAAAAAATGAAAATAAAAAAAATTAATCTTAAAATAAATAAAATTTGACAAACAATGAAAGAAAAGAATTTGAAACAATGAAAACCAGTTATTTGCTGAAAAATTTCCTTAAAATATTAAGAAGTAATAGATAAAAAAAAAAAGAAAAAAACTAACACAAAAAAAATTCTGTTATATTAGTAATTACGTGTATTTATAAATGATTAATCAATTCTTCACATTATTTCTTTTTTCCGTTTAATTACATTAAATTAAATTATATCAAGTTTAAAAAAAATACACCAAACGAGAAAGTATTAAATTTATTTCTAAAAAAAAAAAAAATACGGATGATACGAATTAATATCAACAATAGTATAAAAAGTGCAAAGTTCCCTTCCTAAAAAGATGTTATCATTTTTTATTTTAATTTTAAATACTGATTGCTAGTGTATCTTGACAAATTGTGATTAAAATTTTTAATTTTGTATGAAATAATTTTGGATTGTAAATAGTCGAAATGATCTGATTGGAGAATTTTTGCTTTTTTTTTTTTCGTTTATTCGAAATTGATGACAAATATGAAAACAACGGAAATAAATTGATATTACATAATTCTATATTCTTATAAAATCGGATATTAAGCAATCAAAATTTTTCCTATAAAATCAAAAATTCTTCCCATTAATTATAAGAACAAACAGGCTTATGCAAAAGAAGATAAATACAATTTATTCAAATTGGATGATTCAGAATTTTTAATTGTAAATGAAAATTTGAAAACGAAAATGCTCAGAGCAAACGCTCATTTATCATGATACCAATTTTTTCTTATTTTTTTTTGCTGTTAAAATTCCAATTAATAAAATTTTGATTGATAAAATGATAAGAAACTATTGCTTTTAACATTTATATATAGCAATATTGTATGAAAAAAAAATGAGGAAAGGAATAATTTACATAACTTATTATTAAATAAGAAATGAACGATCATTGAATATTTCTTATCCTTTTTTTTATTTTTGATAGAAATTTTATTCGAAATATTTAATTAATACTTAAATTTTTATCACAAAAATTTCATAATATTTACATTTTTCCAGAGCATGGTTAATGTTTCTGCCAACAATTTAAGAAATTATAGTAATTTGCATAAATCATATTTTAATAATGATTTTAATTTTGATAGCCAAATAAAAATTAAATCAGTTGAATAAATTTATGATGATGATGAGTGATATTTAATATTTAGGTAAGCATTTGTAATAAATCAACGGAACATTGTACAATTACAACATTGAAGTAAAATGTATAGTTGCTTACCTGGTCTACGTTGTGTTGCTACATTTGATTCTTGAATATAAATTAATTAAAATTTTGCTTCTTCATTTTTGTAACTTAAATTTCACCAATTTTTTAAAAATTAATTTAAACAAAAATTATTTATGAAACTTTGTTAAAATTGATTTAAACAAAATTTTATGCAATAATTTAATTACCAATAAAATCTTATTAAAAATTTTCAAAATATTCCTAATTCTTATAATAAAATATATGTTTATGAGATTATTGTAACAGTAAATTTCATGATAAAAAATCTAATAACTTAAAGAATGGATATGATAACGATATGATTGATATATGTACCAATGTTTTTTGTTAAATTATTGAACTACTCAATACCATCAAGAAAATGATCAAAAGCATGCATGCAAAACTGCAAAACTGCAAAACAATACAAACCATCTTCTTCCGTTTTCGCTTTTTCCGGTTCACTTGCAGGTCCATAACCCAGATCGGTACCGGCTGCAATGCTTACTTCATATATCGTATGTGGAATTAATCCCTTGATAATTGCACTATTGCCTAATGTAGTATCGTGAATTATTTCCAGCCATCGTTTTTCTCCTTTTTCACCTTTTCCGGATAATAATTCTTCTTCATCTTCATCACTTTGCCATATTTTACTATGATCCGCTTCATTGCTTGCCAAAACCGGACGCCAACGTATCAGGTAATTCCGAATTTTACCTTGATGATATTCAATCAATGGTGCTTTCCAATGAATAAACAGAGATTCTGATGAAAGCGCTTTTAGCATAATAATTTTTGGTGACACTGTCGGAACTGTAACGAAACACAAACAAACAACTCAACTACAATATATGCAAATACACAATCACAATATTTAAATTTTATAATTTGAATTTCGTAATTAAAATTATAAATGGAAATGCCTAAAAATTTTTGCTACTAATAAAGTTAGCATAATTCATTTAACAAATCAACAATAGCACAAATGATTTTACATGCACAAAACAATGCATGCAAATGTAAGCTACACAATATCATACATTTACTTCCTTATTGAGCGGTCATTTGGTCTTTCAATTGGCCATTTAGTGGCTAGTTAACTTTAAAAAGCAAAAGAAAATTTAAGAACGAAAAATATGTATATAAAATATATTAATCAAAATAAAATTTTTTTGAATGTGACAATTTACTCTGTCACATCTTCATATGTCCTGTCTACTGTCAACAAAAAAAAAAAATGGAAATGAAACGATTGATAAATGTTAGAAAAATTATTTACACTAGTAACTTATCTTTTTTTGAAAATTTTTTGCAAAAATTGAAAAATTTTCAAAATTTCTCACCATTTGGATATGTTTTTACAGTGACATCTGTACAAAATGCTCCAATACCTCTTGCTGATCGAGCTGCTACTCTGAAATTAATTATCTTTAAATATATGAATAAGAAAAAAAAATGTGATCAAACTTTCAACACTTTAAAATATAAAAATTTTTAAAAAATTTTTAAATTTTACACAAAAAGATTTTATCGTTTGATAAATAAAGAAGAAAAAAGTGAAAATGTACAATAGATGACGAATATTAATATTTAAATTTGTCTATGGTTCCAAAAATTATTTAAACTTATTAAAATAATTAATTTTGGCTTATTCATTAAATTATTCCTTCTTTATAATTAATTATAAGTGATTAACTTTTACTATGAATGGTGCTTTAATTATTAATTTCTATTCAATTCATTGGAAATTTTCCTTAACAAAATTTATTTTCGTACTAATTCTATTAGATAATTAAATTTTGATCATTAAACAAAAACATTTATGGGCGAATGTGTCTAACCGGAAAGAGTAAAAGGTATCAGGAAGTAATCCATCGATGATATGCCTTTCTATCGGTATTGTAAGTGTTAATTCCCGACTGTTTCCGGTTGATGCATTGAAATGAATTAAATAACCGATAATGTTATATGAATGTAACGGTTTGTCCCATATAAGTTGAATTCGATGTGAATCGAGAACTTTTGCTGTAAGGCCTGTTGGCTGGCCTGGAACTGTAAAAGGATTGTTCAAATTAATTGCTGAAATAATTAATTCGAAAGATTTTAAATTTTTCCAAAAATAAAATTTACACATATATTAAGGAAAATAAATCTGTTGGTAGAGGAAAAAAAAGAAAAAAAATAATGTAAAAATTAAAAAAAGCATATGAATGGAAAATATTTTTTATTATCAGTAAATTGAAAATAAAAATAAATCAACGAAATGGAATGGTAATAGATAAGCAGATAATTAATTAATTAAAAATTAATCAATTAAAATGATTTTATAACAGATAGATGCTATGAAAATTCGATATATCCGGTATGAAATCATTATATCTATTATGAAGAAATGGTATTTTAAACAATCGAATGGTTTCGATGATAATGTTAACGATATCGATTGCATATTTGAATTTAAATATTACTTACTTATCGTTTTATTTTATTTTATTTTTTTATTAAATTGAAATATGCAAAAGTTATAAAAAACGATAAAATTGGTTAGTCTTCTGTATTTGTTGATAGCACTGCACAATTTCAAAATTTTTTAAATTTCATAAAAAATATTTCATCGAAATGTGCTAATTTTTGAAAACAACAAATATTTGTAAGTTATTCAAAACAAAAAAAAAAAAGTGAAATTTAACATCAGATAATGGATGACAAAATCGGATTATTACTGATTGATAAAATTTCAAATTTCAAATTTTAAAACTTCAAATCGAAATTTCTTCAAGTTTCAAACAATTAACCATTTCAAAAATAAGAAAAGTATTTAATTAGGAAGATGAGAAATGAAATGTGCCACTTACTTCCTTGTCGCGTGAAAACTGTTGCAAGTTTTGACATTGGACTTAATCCTTTAGCATTTTTTGCTTGTACATGAATGTAATAAATACTTTCAAATTCTAAATTTGTTATCGTAGCAATTAATTCATCCGATTTCGTTTCTTGCTAAAACATAAATAAATAATAATTGTAACATTTTATAAATTATAAATTAATTTTCACCCAAACATCTTTCATTGCCTCTTATTCAATTATTGATTATTAATTACTCTTTTATCACTTATCATACAACATACTAACATCTCAATTAACTGAACATTTATTAATTGCGGGAAAATTTTTTCAAATCGTAATATTTATTTGAATTCATTTTCATTCTAGATAATTAACACTATTACAAGTAATATCAATTTAATTAATCGATATTTATTAACAAAACCATTACAATTTTAATTAAAAAGAAAAATTTACCATTTTCCATAAAGAGTATGGTGCCGTTGGTTCCAAATTGGTATAATGAATGATATATCCCTGAAAATATGAAAATTCATTTAATTCGAATTTTAAGATTTGAAAATTAAAAAAAAATAAATAAAAAAATTCGAAAATTGGATGAAAATTTTATTTCACCCATAAAATATTCCCTATTACTTATTTCATTCAAAAAAAAAGGAAAAAGAAATTTAAAAACTTAAAAATAATTCAAGGATTTAAAAATATAATTCAAAAAAAAATAAAATTCAAAGATTTAAAAAAATGAAAAAGGAAAAAGATTTAAAAATAATTCTTACCGTAATCAATCCATTTGGTTTTTTTGGTGGTTCCCAACGTACTAAAATAGATGTTCGACTTAAAGCTCGAGCTTGTACCTTTTGTGGTGAACTACTTGGCGCTGTTTCATCCGTTTGCACCTCTTTTGGTAAACTTGCAATACCATGGCCAATCATATTAACAGATGATATTGTAATTTCATATAACTGAAAGGAATAAAAAAGTTAAAAATATTTTCAAATTGAAAATATTTCATGGAGTTATAAAATGAAAATTTTGTAAAATAATAAAATTTCTTATAAAAGTTAATCGATTCTTTTCATTGTCTTTTATTTCGTTGTGAAAAAATTTTGAATAGAAACATTCATTAACAATTAACCTTTGAACTTTTTCAATTAAATCTAAAGTTGAATTTAGGGTAATTGTATTGTTAAAATTATTCACTTATTATAATTAACATAAAATGTAAATAGTATTATTAAAATTTTTTTTTGCATATTTTTTATGTAAACTTCTTTAGCATAATAAAAAATACAAATAATAGTAATAACATATCAATGTGATAAGTATAATTTTAAATCGAAATGATATTTACTAATTAATCTAATTGATATTTTATTTGTGAAGCGATTAATATCTGATTGATAATATTGTATTTGATATAACAATCTTTCAGATGAATTTCTAACAAACCTGATATGGTTCCAATTCAGTGATAACAGTGGTAGTGACATTTGCGCTCACTTCTTTCTGCATAAACGATCCTTCATCATACCTGAAATATTATACAGAAGTCTTAGAAGGATAAGGGAGAAAAAAAATTTACTGTAAGACTTTTCATCATTTTTGGATTACTGAAATGAATCTATCTATAAGTCTTATAATTAATTAGCAATTGAAATTTAGTTAGCTTAATTATATACACATAAACTGTCGCTTATTTCGGACTTGTTTATTTTGAAAGATAATGTTTCAAAAAATATCCTATATAATTTATATGAGGAATAATCAGCGAATATTATACCACTGAAGATTTCTAATTCGAAATGAATTACCATATGAATAATCAAATACTTATTTGCTTAGGAAATAAGAACAAAATAAACGTTTCGAATATTTAAAGGCAAAATAATTATCTTTATTGAAATGACTTTTCATTTGGTACTTCAAAGTGATTTAGTCTCTTTTAAGAATGTGACATTTTTGAGTGAAAATGAAATTTATAAAAAAATTGAAATTTAGTTTTTTTACGTATTTTTCTAAAATTTGTGCCTTAAATTTAATAGATTTTGCATGCAGTAACATTCATGTTAGCAATAGATTGAATAAGTGATTGTAAAGCTGCTAAATAATATGAATAATTAATTTATCAACAGCAAAAAAACAATAATATGATAACAGTAATTACTAATCAATTAATTAAATTGCTACTAATTGATCTATATTATTTATTATTGCTGATATTTAGTTATTGTAAATAATTGAAAGATTAATTCAAATTTAATAACTTACTCGATAATATCAGCTGGAAATATTGAGGTTGATAAGTTAGCAATATTCCTTCAAAAAAAAAAGAAAACCATAACAAGTGAGTAAACATGCATGTTAAAATCATTGTAATTAATTTATACTAAATTACTTATTTACTGTAACTTTCAAGAAAAAAAGAAACAAATGAAAGTATTTGTAAGCAAATAAACAATATAAATATGTTTAAAAAAAAAAATTTATCTCGTAAAAATTAATTAAGAATTACTTAATAAAAATATAAACAAAATTTTTCAATTTACTTTTATTAACAGTAAATGATTAATGAAAAAAAAAATTTCGAATTAAATCTTTTACAGGTGAAAATTAAGGTAAATGAAAACTTTTAAATGTCTAAAAAGTTATACAAATAAATAAAATTTTAATAATTATATTCCATTCTAAATAATTCATTCCCAATTCAGCATATTTATTTGCTTAAAAATTGTTAAATTTTAACACTATCAATCAATCGATCAATTGCATGCTGAAGTTAACAAGCAATAATTAAAAAAAAAAAAAAAAAAACTTAAATGCTAATATCTTTTCAGTTACACATGCATTTTATCGAATACACTGCAATCCGGATTAGAATATAAACACACATTCTCATAGTTATTGAATCTTTGACAGTAACTTTCGGAATCTTACTTTTGGCGGTACTTGATGATATATTTCTTAACCGGTTCCTCTTCAATATGCACCGGATCCCAACTTACGCGAACACTATTGGATGTTACATCAGATACACGCAAATTTTGTGGTGCAGGAGGTAGTGCTGTAAGAAAAAAAAAAAAATTACAGCCAGTAATTGAATTTTAAATTAAAATTTAAATTTAACTCCTGAATAATTTGTATTTCTCATTTGTAGAATAAACTTTACTTATAAAGTTACTATCGTTCATGAATGTCAAAAAATGTTTGCTTTATCATTTTAGGAATTTATCACATCAATGAATGATAAGGAATCCATTCCGAAATTCAATTCATTAAATGACAAGAGAATATTTCTAAAATCTTGGATATTTTAAATATTAAAATGTCACCAATCATTGAGTAATGATGTCAATATTAACAAAAAAAAAAAAAAAAAGAATAAATGAAAATCATTTTATCAAAATATTTTTACTTACATTTCACTTCAACAGTTGTCATCACTTCGATATTACCAAGTTTACTAACTGCGACACATGTATAATTCTCTGTTTTCTCAATTTTTGTCAATGTTAGCACATTTCGGCCTAATAATAATATTTAACAATTATTTTTTATTGATTTAATACAAAAATTTTCAACAAATTCTTTCGTTATTTTATTTTTTATTTTTTTTTCTTTTGAAATTAGCATTTTAAAAATAAATTTTTGATAAACTATTAAATGAAAAAAATCTTTCATACAATTAATTAAACTACTAAAAATCAAAACAATAATTTCAGTGTTATTTGCAAAATTTTAAAATGTAAAATTAAATTTAAAAATTTTGTAAAAAATTATGGTAGAAGCGACCAGAAAAAGTATTTTTAATAAATTTTTTCTCCTTTTTTCTTAATAAATTACGCTATTAAAAACTTAAAAAAAAAGAAAAAAAATATAACCAATTGGTGCAGCTTGTGGATCGTTAAGATATGTATCATCGGATTTTTTCCAGAATACCCGTGGCATTGGATATCCTACGGCAACACAGGTTAAATTAAGCGCTCCACCAGGTGCTATTTTATATAAGCGTTCAAGTTTATACGAAAAATATGGTGGTACACGTCGAACTGAAACAAATAAATGAAATAAGAAATGAATAATACAAATAATTATATGAATGAATATAAATTCATCGGAAATTTAAATGAGTAAGTAAATCAAAAATAAAAGTGTTAAATGATAAATTCCAATTAATTAATTCCGTATATACTCAGGAAATTTTTTCTTCCCTTAAACATTACTGTATAAATTAATTGGAATAATTCGATAAATAAGTAAATCAATCATTAAATAAATACGTGCAAATAAAACGAAGCAAAAAAAATGATTAGTCGAAATATTTTCAAACAATCATTCAAAAAAAAAAAAAAAAAAAATGAATAAATAAATAAATGTATTTCATTTTTTTCCTTTTTTATCTTTTTTTTTTCGTTTTCTCTACACTAGCTTACTTTTCAAACAATTTCAAAAATTTATTTGTTATATTTAAATTATCAAAATTTACCAAATTTAATTTATTAATCAATAAATGTAACAACCTTTAACATATAAATGAGCAGCTCTGGAATGTGTCACACCATGAGTATTCCTTGCGACACATTCATACTTCCCTTGATCTTCTTCTTTTGCTTGCTGTATCATTAATGCACCTAAATTTAAATATTCTCTCTTCTTAAATTAAAAAAAAAAAAAAAGAAAAGTGGACGGTGAAAACAAAAGGAAAGCATGCCGCTCAGTGTTTTTATGCATTCATTTATCAAATGTTTGTGTTTTGTGTGATATGTTGTGATAAAAAGGAACAAAACTAGAAAAAAAAAAAATTAATTATAAAAGAACGAAAAAAGTTTTATAAAGTAAAAATTAAAGATTAAGGATCAAAATTTATTTTCGTTAAATCCAATTTAACAAATATTACGGCATTTCTTACTTCAATTTTTCGTCTAATTTTAATAAAACAGAAAATGGTAGAAGAAATCTTATCAGTTTGAAATCGACTAATTAATCAGTTTAAAATTAATTAGTGAAAGACATTTGCAAATTAATATATTTTTGCATTGTTTCTAAGATAATTTTTGCTGGAGGAGGAGAAAGTGGACAATAGAGAAAAGGATTAAAAGGAGGAAAAAATTAAAATTTATGGTATTATTTCGTTTCACTTTCTTCTTGTTTTTTTTTTTGCAATTAATCAATTTTTGAAAAATTTTTCTTTTTTATTTAAAAATGAAATTTATATTATACGGTATTTGAAATTTATTGTATATTTTACATCTATTTTATAAAGAAGAGTACGCAGATAGATTGATAAAAAAAAAAATTGTTTGTTGTCAGAAGGGAAGAAATAAGGAATAAAATTTGTGCTTATTTGACCAAAAGAAAATTAAAAATTGAAATTAATAATTAATAAAATTAGCATATTTACGTCGAATATTGATAACTTTCTTTCTTTTTTGTTTGTAAAACAAACAAATTAAAATTATTCTATTTCCTTAACAAATAACAATAAATTAATTAATCAATTAATATACATTATATATATATATATATATTGGTCGATTAATATTTGGGCAAATATTCGATTAAAAATTTTTGAATTTTACGAATAAATACAAAAAGCAATTAATTAATTGATAAATATATGTATATGTACGTGCAAATATCAGATTAAAATTCGATTAAAAATTTTTAAATTTAACAAATAAATACGAAAAATAATTACATATATATATTAAAAAAAAATTACGTATATATTTACATATATATATATATATATATTTTGAAATAATATAAATCAATACAGTGCAGTTTAAGTAAATAGTGAAATACAAGCATTGTGTGAATATTTGCATGCTTTTTATTTCGTTTTTTTGGTAGAGTATAATGCATTGCTAAATCTTACCAATTGCTTTCAATCGAAAACCTAAAATTCAAAATTTCATTTTTCTGCTTTTTTTAAAATAAGCAAATTTTATAGCTTACAAAAAAAAAAAAAAAGAAAATTCCTATTCAAAGAATAATATGTATTATGTAAAAAATAAGGATAAAGTAAAATAAAAGTTTCAAAAAACTAAATTTCATTCATTACCTAAAATGACTTTCATTTTTTTACCAAATAAGTTATTAATTATTAATTTATTAATTAGGATAGCAGTTTAATGTAGTAGGATATGATTCTTATTAATTATTTTAGACATTTACATATATTTAAATTTAAATATTATCATTATATTGATATATATTTATTCATCATTAATTAAAATAAATATTTTACAAAACATTAATAGAATAATGGTATTTTCGATATTCGTTTCTTTCTTTTGGAATTGTAATGTGTTCGGGAAGGTATTTTAGTATTTTTAATACTTTTAAAAGAAACTTTTTTTAAAGAAACTTTTAAAAGATGAATGAAAGAAGAAAGTTTACGAACAAAACATCACAATATAAATATCTATTATTACAATTATCTTATAGTAGAAAAATTAGGCGTATATATTTTGAAAGTAAAGTTAGAAGACAATGAAAGTGTTTACTGTTAAGATAATTTAATCACAATATGGAATTTATGGATATAATAAGCCTTTTTGAGTACTGAAATTATATTTATTTTAATTTTTATTATTAATTAATACAAATAAATGTCCTCAAACGTCACATGCTAATTTTATTTGTTATATCAAAAAAAGTAATTTTACTGAAATTCCATCATTGATGATATTTGATAGAAAATGAAATCATATGAAATATTATATTTATAAAAGTTAAACACACAAAAAATATATCATATAAAAGGAAAACAATATATATATATATATATATATTTTCTTTTTTTGCATATTTTCTTAAACATATAAGAGATAATTGTAAATGTAATATCGATTAACTGTTAATAATAAAATAATATCAATTATGCAAATATAATACATATATTTATGAGTTTTAAAATTCATTACATATAGCAAATGGAAAGCTTAAGGATATTTATTTAGGAATGAATTATAATTAAAACAAGGAGAAGAAGAAAAGCGTCGTGATATCGCAATGAAACACATAGCAATACTGGGGTACGACAAAAAATGGAAATAATAAGTTTCCTTACTAATTAACAAGGATTAGAAAAAAAAATTACCTGGATTACCAAGAGTAGAAACGGAATATCGAGTATTAGACCGAATATCAACAGGCATCAGATCACGAAGCCATAATACCTTTGGACGAGGATCACCACGTACTCGACATGATACATGCGCTGTTCGACCTTGCTCAACCGATTTTAACACCGGATGCGCTTCAATTACCGGAAATCCGGCTGGTAACTCACCTAACAACATAAATTAGTAGTTACTGTCAGTTTAATAATTAATTTATGTTCTTCAAACAGTCTCTTTTAATGCTTAATTGTTCCAGTTAATGAAAAATTGTGATTATTGAAATTTACCAGGTGGAAGAACGGTAAGTGTCGCATCAGCAATAACCGGATTACCAATTCCGTTGTCTGCCGTACAGCTTATCGTTGAATTTGCATCAGTTAATTTAACCGGTTCAATTCTCAATGTGCTCAACCCATTAGAAAGGGTTTTCGTTGAATATCTATATTATTCAGAGCAATAGGAAATTAAGAAAATAATTGAAAATTTAGAATCTGATTTAAAAAAATTGCAATAATTGTAATGGTTATAAAGTTTGTAATTATGATAACATGGTAATTATGGTTATATTTGTAGGGACAAGTAAACATATTATGAATAATCATAATTATATCATGATAATGATTATTACATAATGAATAATAATGATATAATAATATAATGATACATAATAATGATGATTACATAATGAATTATAAACATGCTATCATTATTATTTTTCTTTCCATTCATTATTATTATTATTACTATTATAATTATTCCATTTAATTAATATCTTTATTGTTTTTTTTTGAAATTTAATTTTTTCATTTTGGATTTTCATTTGCATTTGGCAATGCAAATTTTCTCGACAAAAAAAAGAAACTGTTCGTTTTTTTCATAAAATATTAAATATATTCGGATAATACCTTAAATCCGAGATTGATAAACCATTCTTCTTCCAAACTACTGTAGGTAATGGATTACCATCGGCACGACAAAAGAAGCTAACCCTTGTATCCGCCGCTACTGTCGATGAATCCGGTCGAATTATCAATTTAGCACTATCTGAAATGAAATAACTTTCAGCTTTAATGAATGAAGAATTGAATTTAAAAATTTGAAATTTTGATTGCTAATAAATTAATTCTTCCTAATTTCATAATATTTCATTATAAACATTGACGAAAACTAATTGTAATCATAATTTTCTATCATTTCCTATTAGTACCTGTTTTGTTTAAAGTTTTACTAAATTTAAATTTATCAAACTTACACGCCAGAGTTTGAATATAACTCTGATATTCCCAGTCTGGAAGCAGCAAAAATGAAAAGACAGTTTGGAAATTTTAGATGAATATATTGGTAGATTGAACTTTTTTTTTCTTTTTGTTTGCATCGAAATAAGTCAAATCAATTCAAATTGATTCAGAAAAATACAGATAATGGTGTAGAAATATATTTTAGTTAATACAGAAATTATTGAATTGAATGAAGTTATTCCAATTTTCCGGATTTCTTCCGGATTTCTTTTTTCTCTCTTCCCTTTTTTTTTTTTGCATATATTACAAACAATATATTATTGGGGAAAAAAATGAAGGATCTTACCATCAAATGCAGATTTGACGAAAGGAAAAAAGGATAGAAGTAAGATGAAGTTTGAGCAGGATAATTTTGTTGTATTCAACAGGGTCCATGGACCCATTTTTCGCCGTTTCATGACGGTCGATTTGCTTGTTCCTGATATTCCCGATCTTTGGTCTCTTTTATTGTTACCATATTTGATAAGCCAAAAATAGCAGTAATTTTACTGCTTTTGGTAGCATAACTACCAATACATTTGCTATCATTTCTTACGAAGGCCTTTCTTGCAACCAATAATGGTTACCATTATTCGACCATCTTTTATCATCTGGCTAAATATGATATGATTTTAAATTTGATATATCCTTTTTTCATTTTTACTTTCTTAATTTTTCCATTATTTAAATGATTGAATGCTGCAAATATTTGATATTTTAATGATAATCTAATCAGTTATGCAAAATGAACCATTTATCATTGATAATAAATGCATTTACTTTTATCATTTCCATTTAATTTTATCATTTTTATTTTATTTTGTTTTTCTTTTTTTCAAAAAAAGAAAAAGCGCTAAAATTATTAGCAAAATGAACATTTTTTTTTACCATAAAATATTTTGAAAATTTGTAAAATTCAATGAAAAAGTAAAAATTTCTTGGAAGAAAAAAAAAAAACAATTTTGAAGCAATTTTAAAGAAACAAAATTGCTTCCCTACAATTTTTTTTTTTTGCCTTTCTTTCATTCGTTCAACAATCCTAACTTGTTAGACATTTGAAAAGGATGAAGAGAAATATTGATTTTACTTTTAAGTGCATATTTTAAGGTCATTCATCAAAATGAAATATCACATTGAAGGATAGAAAAAAAAAGAGAAGAAGGAAATATATGAAAGGCAATAGAAATGAACGGATGGTTTTTGTTATAATGTCAAGAAATTATAACCACTTTTGATCATCAAGAAAATGAAAAAAAAAAAGAAAAAATGAAATGAAAAAATATTTTGAGCAAATGAAGTTATTTCAACGCATAAAGAAGAATATGATAGAAGAGAGAGAAAGAGAGAGAGAGAGAGAGAGAGAGAGAGAGATCAGTTTATAAACCGTAAAAAATAAAAAGAATGAAAGTTGATAACTGTTAAAATATTATCAGCAAAAAATAACAAATAAAATATGCCATATGTTTCCATAAAATGAACCAAACCTGAAAATGTAAAACAGTAGATGATCAAATGAAATTTATTTTAGAATATTTTACTTTGACATTGCAAATTAATCTGTCACGTGTAAAATGATACGCTTATAAAAGATTT